CCTGGAGAATCAGGTAATTAGTTTAAGGACTAGTACATGGCTGAGTCAGTATTGAACTAACGTGGTCTGGTTTCAGTGGCTACTGACTTCACCTCTGCCCTGAATTATACCATGCTTTGGTGTCTCTCTGCTGCCATGTGATAGCCATGCGGACTCCAGGAGGAGAGGGACCATGTCTTGTTCATTACAATACCCTTAATAAATATATTTAAAAAATTATTTTATTTTATTGTTACTTGGAATATGCATGTAGAACATACACCAATTCAGCAATTTCTGTATGTACAATTCAGTGACATTGATTACATTTTTCAAGTTGTGCAACCACTCTTACCCCCCTTTGCCTAATTGTTCCTTCTGTATTAATGTAAACTCATGCCCCTTGAGTTTCCTATCTAATCTTTCCAGTTGCTGTTGCCAATTTGATCCCATATATACAGTTCTTAAAAGAGTACAATACTCAAGGCAGACATTCTTTGCTAGTTAAGTTAAACTGTTGTTTGGTTGGAAGACGATTTCAGGGGATATTTTTGGTTGAAGGTTTAAAGATTCTCTCAGGGCAATAGTTTCAGGGGTTCATCTAGCCTCAGTGGGTCCAGAAAGTCTGGATATCATGAGAATCCCTTAATAAGTACTTCTTACATGAGCAAAGGGAGCTTTGGTAGCATAGTGCCTAGGGCACTTGACTGCTAATCAGAAGGCTGGCAGTTCAAACCCACCAGCCACTCCTCAGAAGGAAGATGGGGCAATCTACTTCCATAGTGATAATGCCTTGAAAACCCAAGGAGGGGTCGCTATAAGTCGGGTCCAACTCAACGGCACAGAACAACAACAACACATGAGCAAAGGGTCTACCACTACCTCTGAATTAATATAATTGAGATGGAAATTTTAGGTAAATATTTATTTTTATCCCATAGCAATTTTTTTTCTGATGAGGAATTGACATGAGTTAAATGAACAGTCCTATGTTTAGAATTTTGCGTGACAAAGAGTCTGTAGCACGCTGATACTCGTCAGTCAGTTCTGAGTCCCAGTCTACCCCTGCCATGACTAATCCCTTCCCTTTTCTTCCTTTGTCATGAGGGTATGAGAACACAAGAAATAAATCTCAGAGTTGCTCTGCCCACTGTCTGCAGTGGATAATCTCAACACAGCAACTACGGCAGCAGCAACAATGACAACAGAAATGATGAAAGAAAAAACAGGAAGAAAAGCAGAACTTACTAAGTTTTTTTTTTTTTTTTTGCTTAATGTTGATTTCATTTATTTTGAAAGGTCTTTCTCACTGAAAGATTAAAAATTACTTTAAAATT